CGGTGCGTATGGGCGCGCTTGTGCGTGCGCGCGCCCTGATGTGCGCACACTTATTTGCGCGGATAAGTCGCGTGTGAGCGGTTGTGGACGCGCGTTGCAGGGTGGCACTGGTGAACACAGCGCTGTGCGTGCATCGGAGGGCCTGGAAGGGGGCAGAAAGTGTGTGTACTTGTTTGTGCTTGCGGCTCTGTGGTTGTGCGCGCAGTGGTACCCGAGGATGCGGCGTGTGTGTGTGTGTGTGTGTGTGTGTGTGTGTGTGTGTGTGTGTGTGTGTGTTGAAGACTACACCAAGTGCAATCAGGGGAGTGGAGGAAAAGCTCCGACTCCTACCCCAACCCCAGAATCAAAACGAAAAAGCCTTCCCTTTCAGCAGGGACTCATGCATCAAACTTCAATTTTCCGGACGATTGAATTAGTGATTTTTTTTCTCCTGAACTAAAATACACTTAAGTCTTTGGGATTAATTACCACGTTCTGGTCCCTCAGACTGTAGTATTAGTTATCGCAGCCACGTTTGACATCAACCCTGACACCTCATAAAATAAGGAACTGCATTTCACTGACTCAACCTGCTCCAGCCCCGCTGGAGAATCCAGAAGGGGGCTTTATGCTGCGTCGGGGAGCGCTTTGTTCAGTGAACAAGAGCGAATACGGATCCCCAACCAACCGGGTGCAAATCCAGCCGCCGCTCCCCGCCCCCCGGCAGGGCAATGTCAGATTTGGGGCTAAGAGGCGGGGAGAAGAAAGGGGGGGAGTTAAACACCCCTGCAGAATGTCAGCCCGGGCTGTTACAAGTATGGATTCCAAGGGGGAAATAATTAAAAAATACATATGACCTCCAGGCCCGGGGATGAGCGCTAAGGAGGCATCTGGGGAAATTTAGGGGAGAGGAGGCGTGTTAGATGAAGAGCCAAGTAGATTGGGGGGGCTTTTGTTTTTTCTCCCCTCCTTAGGGGGCGCCACTCCAGGGCCCTGCCAGCGCTCCCCCCGCCCGCTGCCGCGCCCCGCAGGCCGGGAGGTTCGGGGCGCGCGTCGTAAATAATCCGCACAATTAAAAATCATAATTAAGAACGCGCCGCAACCCGCCAACCGCTCGCACGCGGCGAAACCTAGTGAAGAGGGGGTGGGGGATCAAGACGTGGAAACACCTCGTTTAGTTTGATTTCGTGCTGTTACTGTATCATAGTGACCCCCTCCCCCCCCAAAAAAGGCAAAACAAAATCACTTTTCCAAAATGCCAGGTTGTTTTTCTTGCAAGGAAAAAGAAAAAATCGCTCTGCTTTCGCCAACCGCTCGCACGCGGCGAAACCTAGTGAAGAGGGGGTGGGGGATCAAGACGTGGAAACACCTCGTTTAGTTTGATTTCGTGCTGTTACTGTATCATAGTGACCCCCTCCCCCCCCAAAAAAGGCAAAACAAAATCACTTTTCCAAAATGCCAGGTTGTTTTTCTTGCAAGGAAAAAGAAAAAATCGCTCTGCTTTTTCTCTCAAGCGCTGGTTCAATTCTGTTTTGTAATTCCCGTGTCTTCCCCCTCCCCCCTTCCAATTTTAGAGATTTTGCTTTTTGCCCGGCTCTATTGTGCAATTCCGGGGAGGCGGGTCCCCCAAAACAGAGGAGGCTTCAAGAAAGGGTTTGCAAACATTCCTCTCTCCCAGTAAGTTTCTCCATTAGCAGCCAGGTTAATTAACACACGGGCGGGCTACCTGCCTACTTCCCGGAAAAGAACAGGGCGGCCGAGTGAATGGAGATGGATCGTGTTGAAGACACGCAAAAACCCAAAAGTCTCCCGCGCTCCGGGCCTTGGAGTCCCGCGAGGAACAGGGCTTTGCCTAAAGTTGGGACTCTTGAATTCAGTGAGTGTTTCCCCCGGTCTGTCTGCGAAAACCTCCCAGCTGCAAAATGCCCTGGGAGTCAGCACACCAGAGGCGAAAGAGGGAAGAGATCGGTTGCCCTTGTGCGCGTTCTCGGGTTGATTTTAGTTTATTTTATTTTATGTAGGGCAGGTGAGTCGTTCTACCTGACGGCCCGCGGAGTGAACAATCCGAAATAAAAAGCGGGGCCCGACAGAGCTGGCCCGGATACTGAAATCGGAAGTCTCTGTCTAGCTAGTTCACGGAGGGAAGTCTGGATTTGAAAACGGTTACCCGCCTCCTCTTTTTTTTTGGTATCTTCTTTTGTTTCTAAGCATGCCCATGAATTACCCCAAGCCCTGACTTATTTTTTGGAGCGGCGAACCAGCCGTAGGAACATGCTGCAAATCTTAGGGAGCCGGAATTTATTCGCGCAGCAGTTTTAGCCACGTGCGGTAAACTTCGCTGGGTTCAGCGCTTTCCCCCTTCTCCAACTCGCCCTTGGGTTTGCACTCGGCCGCCCAGAGCTCCGAAATCCAAATTAACTCCGGGTTTGGTTCCCCCCCTCCCAACACCCTCGCTTTTATTTTATCTCTTGCTTATATTGTATGCTTGCAGCCTCATTAAATCCATTGCAAGACAAAAGAAGAAAAGCAGAAGGGGCGGCGAAGGGGGGGGGGAAGGAAAGAGGGAGAATAAAAAAGAGAGAGAGAGAGAACAGATAAAGAAAACAAATAAAGCCCTTTAACAAGATCTCTACATAAATGTCACAGTTTCTCGGCATTTACGATTTGCCTGCTTAGCATAAAAACACTTAAGGACAAGATTGAAAGCTTTGTGGGAGCTCTGGACAGAAGTCAAACATATCACTTGCAAAAAAAAAA